ACTCGAAACCTTACTTCGTAACTTACGTAAACACATCCTTCTTCATCCTACCGCTACTACCCATGCTTTTGCATTGCCTATGGAGCGACTACCGCCAACCAAATACTGCGCGCCAGCCTCGGCAGCCATTTATCACACACATCTATAATCTTTTGCAGCGACGAACAGGGAAATGGACACTACTTCGCGAACACGAATCCAGCTCTTCCCTGGCACCTTCGCACGAGTCCAGGAACGACGAAGCAACCGAAGTATTGCTCTCATCATCAGCCCCGGGATCCCTGAACCTCGGTAGGGGAAAAGATGTGGGACATGAGACAGACGAAGGAGGATTGACACTACACGATACAGCCAAACTAGCTCTCGAATTTTGCATCCTCTGGTTCCTAGCAAATTACTTTGCAGCAGCTTGTCTTGAGTACACGACCGTCGCCAGCTCCACCATCCTGTCTTCCACATCGAGCATCTGGACGCTCCTGCTCGGTTCCATAATGCGCGTGGAGCGCTTCACCATGCTCAAGCTTGTCGGCGTTCTCGCATCTCTAAGTGGTGTCGTCCTGATATCCCTAGTCGATGTCTCTGGCGACACGGACGAAAACCGGGGTACCTTCCCTCACAAAACACCCCGCGAACTGGCGATTGGCGACGTCATGGCGTTTGTCTCGGCAGTTCTCTACGGCTTCTATACTGTGTTTATGAAGGCCAAAATCGGTGACGAGACAAAAGTCAACATGCCGCTTTTCTTTGGGCTGGTAGGCTTGGCCAATGTCGTGCTTCTCTGGCCTGGTTTCATCATCCTCCACCTTACCGGCATCGAGCAGTTTGAACTCCCGCCCACGACGCGCATCCTCAATATTGTTCTTGTCAACAGTGCATCGTCGCTTGTGTCGGACTTTTGCTGGGCCTACGCCATGTTCCTTACGTCTCCCCTCGTTGTTACCGTTGGTCTCAGCTTGACCATTCCGTGTTCGTTGGTTGGCCAAATGCTGCTGGATTCGCAGTACGCGAGTGCCCTGTACTGGGTGGGTGCTGCCATCATGGTCCTTTCGTTCCTCTTCATCAACCATGAAGATAGAAAGGATGAGGTACAGGGTTCGGCGGATACGAGTGCACGCGGTAGTTTTCAGAGCGTGCGGCAAAGTTTGAGTCGGCGGAACTCTAGGTCCGAAGTTTGAACATTTCTTGATCTAATTTTTTGAGAGCCTTTTGCATTGCATTTATCACTGTTGCCCTGTCGAGTCCACGGCGCAGTAAGGGTGTTGGACCTTTTTTTTTATATATAGATATGGTGCAGGGTCGGGTATATGTCATATAACCTTTTTTTCTTTCTTGTTTTCTATTTGCAGAATAGATATGAACCAATATCAGTATTTACACAAGTAAAATTATTCTCGTCATTTCTGCTATTCCTTCTTCCCGCCATCCATGTTCTTGGAATACTGATTCCGCGAGTATTTGCCTTTACCCTTGTTCCACTTATTCTTGCCGCCGCCGCCACTACTACCCCGATAACTCCTCTCGCGATCATCGTCTTTCCTCTCACTCAAGCGCTCTTTTTTCTTCGCCTGCCACGTCTCCTCATCTTCTAGCTCTTCAGCCTCCCACCCTTCTTTTTCCATGAATTCTTCCAGCTGCTGCTGTAGCTGCGGTTCCCATTTCTCGGCGGACTCGAAGTCAGAGAGTTCAATCACGTTTTGGCCCAGTGTGTAGGCGCCTTGGCGTGAGCGGATTAGCGAGGACATGAGTCCTAGGGAGGAGCAGGCGAGACCTAGGTCATGGCAGAGGGAGCGGACGTAGAAGCCTGATGTGACGGTCATGCGGAGCCGGGCTGCTGGGGGTTGTGGTGGTGACTGTGTGGATGTGGCTGAGTCCTCGTTTGATGATTGTGCTTGATCTGCTACTTCAGTCTCTTTGGATGAGGTTTCTGGGTTTTCCTGTGTGGGTAGTGCCGCATCAGTAGCGGCTTGTGTAGTATCATCCTGAATTGTCTCGGTTGCCTCCGCTGGCGTATCTTGTGATGGTAAAGCACCAGACATGGCTGGCTCCGTCTCTGACTTGGGCATCTTCGATTGCTTCCCGGCGCCTTCTACACTATCGCTCTCTGGCGAACGTGATCGTTTCCGTCCCTTCCGCGCCATGGTGTTGGCATGAATCTTTGCATCTTCCTCTCTAATGCCAAGTAGCTTTTTCGCGCCTTCCATCTCGACACCATCGACCTCTTCCTTTGGCCACGCGTACTCGTGGCTTCCTGGTTCCATCCACTCAACAAGCTCCAGCTCCTCCACTTCCACAGGTCGTGCAGCTACCTCGGGTATCTCATTACCCTCTCTTGCGTACTCATACATTTTCTTGCCATCAACCTTAAGCGCTGAGAAAACACTTGGCTTCTGCATAATCTTGCCACGGAACTGCGCCAGCTTCTCTTCTACCAACTCCTTTGTGACATGTTCGTATGGCGCCTTGCTAACTACCTTTCCAACAGCGTCGTAGCTGTCTGTAGCGGCACCAAATAGCACCACGCATTCATACGTCTTTGTGCATTCCAGAAAGCGTTGCAGGCACTTTGTGCCTCGTCCCAGCCCGACAATCAAGACGCCAGTAGCCATTGGATCCAGAGTACCGCCATGACCAAGCTTTACCTTGAGATTGTTGATATGCTTCTGTTTTGCGTGCGACAGGATAAGCGACCGTTTCTGGCTCTCAAGCCAAGGCGCAAGGAGCGATGAACGAGCAAAGTGCTCTTGCAGGTCGCGTAGCACGCCGGCTGAGGAGGCCCATTGCGTTTTGTTGACGGCGAAGATGCCCTCGAGCACCTTTTTCTTGCCCTCTTTGGGGGAAGTGGCCATGATTGTAGCTGCGCGTTTGACCGATGATGCGACGGACATCAACGTTGGAAGGAAGGTCTGCTCGAAAGCTCCACGCGCGCAGTGAAAGTCCTCGATCGTTCCTCGAAGAACAACGCAACAAGTGTCCGCGGTGGGTAGCAGCAATATGATAGCCTTGATAATGATTTGTAACTACCCCTGCAGTTGTCCCGCAACCACGACTGTTGTTGCACACTGTTGGCGCTGTCCAGTTTTTTAATTGCGAAGATATGGCGTCGGAAGCTACAATGGGCCCAGGCTTAAACAGGTATAATGACTGCCTAGGGATCCCTGCACACACAAAAAGCGCGCTAGTGGAAGCGCTAGTGCGCATCTCTCTCACTTGCCTAAACCCTTCTCTTCACATAGATAATACTGCAGATCTCCATTGTCACTCAGGCGCATACACTATTAAGATATCGGCAGTTATCGCGTCACACTGCCGGAATGTCAGTCAACAGAGAACTGGAGGATCTTGCAAAGTCCTCCACGGATGACTTCTACGAGCTACTCAACGTAGCCTTTGACGCAGATGCAGACGCTATCCAGAAAGCATACCGCAAAGCGTCTATCAGATACCATCCGGATAAAAATCCCGACGACAAGAATGCTGCCGACCGCTTCATTCTTCTGGGATGGGCACGCGACATTCTTATTGATGAAAACCTCAAAGGCGAATATGATCGCGCAAGAGCTAGGCGGCGCGAGAAGGTGCTACAGGACGAGATGCTGGATGGTCGACGACGCAAGCTGAAAGAAGACCTCGAGAGGAGAGAGAAAGAGTATCAAGATCAAAAGTCTGGGATCAAGAGAAAGGTTCCCGAGGACATGACGGACACTGAACGGAAGCTCCATGAAATACACAAAGGTGGCAGGAAGCGTTACCACGAAATCAACGAACGCCTAGCAAAAGAAGCTCAAGAAGAGCGAGAGGCCTATCTCGAGGCCATGAGGAAGAGGTCAGAGCCACAGGGAACCCAGCAGAGCGAATCCCAGAAGAGCGAATCCTCCGAAATGGCCCGCGCGGTCAAATTTGAGTTTCCGAGGGAAGGCGATGGAGAGCACTGGGATAAAGATACGCTTGCAACCATGTTCACAAAGTATGGCGAGGTGGATATGGTTGTCCTTCTCAAAGACAAAAAGATCCGACATGCTGGAGAAAAACATCGGACAGCTTCAGGCATGATAGTCTTCACGCGTATCGATCATGCCCGTGCCGCTGTCACGAACGCCAAATCCGACTACCCTTCCCTTAGCTCCGTGAGCTGGGCAAACGGAGAGTTGGACAACATCGAGTCCGTCAAAGCGTCTGCAAAAGAGCCCCTGGAGGAATGGGAGCGGTTAGAGGTGTTGGCGGACATGAAGTTAGACGAGTCAAATATTACGTGGACTGGTGAGTGGGTGGCTGCTGGCACCTGGCAAGGGAAACCAATCATGATACCCAAACCTTCATCCTTTCCGAAAAAGCAGAAGCAAAAGCTTCATGTGGACAGAATGGAGGTAAGTTGAGCTTGGAATGTAGGGACGATTTATGACATCCGGGCTTTCGTCTACAGTATATAATCATCCAATTTCATAAGTTTTGAGTCTATTTATTTCGCCTCTATCAGGCTAGTCCCTCGTTCATTCAGCTGCCTACTAGACAGCATAGGCGAAGGCGAGGGTACTCGTGTCTTCCATCGTGAGACTCATGGTTCTATACAACCTATAGCCATTCAGTATGCTCAGTACCTACGTTAGGTCATTGTCCCAGTTATTTTCTCAAGTTTATCGTCACTTGATATTCCTATTCGATCAATTGTTGCCGGATACCCGATCCCTCTGACAGAGGACCCGTCCAATCACGCTAAGGTTTACATCACTCTTACGTATGCCCAGGCACACTTCAACTCTATACTCTGTCCATGGGTTTTGGGGTAGCAACACTTACATGATCTTTGTGGCATACACCTTAGCAGACTGATGAAGCGCAGGTCGATTGTGAAATTGCCAAAGTTTGTGATTTACATGGATATCCTTCCTCATTAACCATTAGTTATGAAATTACTACTAAGTATATTGTACAGGTCTCGAACACCGGTTATACTTTCTCTTCATTGCTAAATTTACATTCTCCAGATCATCCCCATCGCACACTTAATAACGAGCGTCATGCGAACTGGCAGGTGCACCAGGCTGACCAGCGGCATACTGGCTCTGGAGGTTCTTCTCGTGGTCAAGCCTGTTCTTGTGACGGTAGTCCTTGATCTCGTGGAATGCAGCGGTGATTGCGTGAAGAAGCCTGGCATCAGTCAGTAAAAGAGCAGAACAAGAAAGGTTCAAAGAGAAAACTTACGTGCTGATGATGGCCAAGATGAATGTGCCCCAAGGTAGGTTGCAAGAATCATCGCGTCTGTTTGCCGTCTCACCGGTGATGGTGCTCGAGCTATCACCACCGACTAGACGCCTAGGGCTATAGCAGTGCCTGGCGCCAGCGCGGCCGCCATTTGGACGGGTCAGCACTGCGACTGCAATGAACGCTCCAACAAACAGTAGATCGAGAAGAACCCAGAACCATCGTAGCTTCCTTCCTCCGGGGTTGGCAGATTTCTTGATGCATGATAGAAGGACGGTGATGAGCGTGTACAGCACAGCGGCGGCGAGGATGCCTTCAACAGCACCGTATGCGCCGTTGACGCCGCGCCGGGTCTTGATGCTGTTAACCAGGCGGTAGACCTTGTATATGCGCTGGCTGAAGATGCCCAGAGAAATGACGGACGATATGAACTGTAGAAGGCGGGTGAAGCGTAAGATCCAGCGGTACAGCGCCGTCGTCTTCAATCTGTCGGGCACGAAGCGCGTCAAGAGACCGGTTTGCTCGCGTTTGTCACCGACTGGGTAGTCGGCGGGACCATCAATTGGGCGTTGGTGACGAGCCATTGTGGATTTGATTGTAAAGTTTTCGAGATAGTGTTATGACAAAGGCAAAAGAAGATATTTGCTTTTTGCTGCTCACTTGTCTTGCTTGAGGAAATGGGCGTCAAGCAAGTGCTCTTTGTATCTCGAGAGATGGGATCGTCGCACAAACAAAGCCTGCCATTGTTTGCTAACCTGATCATCGTCACCGCGGCGTCATCGTCGTCACTCATCACGATTCACTGTGATTTTGACCCTCGCGACGTTGCGAAACACGTGATGACGTCAATAGTACATCAGAACCACTGTCCTTTTGTTTTTTCATCTTCGTACGATAACACTTCCTAGCCATACACAGGCCAAACAGGGGAGCAAACTGACGCTGGGCATTACATAGGCTAAGATTAACCTTTTGAGCGATCAAGTTTTTTAACTTGGCATGACAGCTCACGGCTTCTCTGTTCTAGAACGTTATTTCATTTCCCATCACTTTGGACGTCATGTTTTTAATTTGGGCGCAAGTCCCTTGTTCTGGATGTGGCTGATTTGATAAGAAGATTAGGATTCAACGTAAGGCTGGGTTCACAGCAATGAGGAACGCCAGGCATTGTGCAGATATATGGGCCGAAACATGGATGTTCATTCACCAAAGATCAGATTCGTAAAATGAACAATCAAAAAACGTGCAGGACTTCCGGTGCTGATGTTGAATGTGAAGTTCCAGGGCCCACTTGCCAGCGCGACAGTTCTTGTATAGTGAGGAATGACGATGTATGCTATCTCATTGCCAACAGTAAGGTCACCCTTGCCAGAAAGTTCTCCGTTATAATCACCGTAATTATGGAATTCGCTGCTGTGGAATAGGAGCTGCACTTTGGTGTACCAGACCTGCCTTTGTTTAAGGCTGCATACAAGGGCGATAACCACAAGGAAAGACCGCGGAGATATCGAGTCGCAATGGCCTGAGCAGCGTTCCCTGAATCCTCAATCATTTCAGTCATTCAAACATAGCCATTGACACCATCACCGTCATCATGACTCCATTAAAACAACTAAAACCTTGATTTCTTCCTCCTCGACACAAGGCACAATCTATCAGTAGTGTACATCTGGATCCCAAAGAACTCCCGGCCCACCGCCTGCGTGATTGATGATGTGCTCAAACGTAAATGTGTCCATCCTGATGTAAGAGTCTACAAAGGCTCTTGTTGGCATGGTTATCCATCCGAAGTTACTCTGGGGGCCACACCGGGTATTCTTTGGTATATCGGCAACGGGGTCGTGATTCGCGTCCACAATCTTTATCACTCGTAGGTCAGGATCCTTTAGCACTTGAGAGTCGGCTAGTAGAAATATAGCAGTATTCCAATTATTGAATTGCGTCCCCCTCATCGGCTGGCCCCCACTCCCTTCTAAGTAGACCTGCTGGATATCTTCCAGTGTCCGTCCGTCTAAGGTAGCGGGAGCTGAACGCGTGTCGAGCCGAAATCGAGCCTGTGCTTTCGTGACAGCCTCAAGATCTTTTTCCGCCTCGTCGATATTGAAGAGGCCTTTCTTGACTCCGTCGGTGATATTCTCCAGCAACTTTGACCACTGTTCATCAGATCCAGGCCCATAATATGTTCTGTAAATTGTATAGCCCCAGTATCCTAAAAATGGCTCATGATCCTCTTCCAGCTCAACTTCTCAGTGTACGGGGATCCGATAGACGTGGTCTAGAAATGCTGTGATAGTTTGTATAGTTCGCATAGCGATAGGTATGATATGAACGAAGAATGGTGGGTATGAGTTTATCTGTGTGAGTGAGTGTTGGCAGGCGCGTTTCTCTGTTTCTAACGGCCACGCCGGTGAAGATTTTGCGACAAGTGAAGCAATCATTCATGCACGTCGAGAGGATAGCGTAACTGTTGCCTGTGCCGCTGCACGCTAGCGCCGAAACCCTTGCCTTCGCGGCTCCTCGCTTAATGTCGTTGAAGTCTAAACTGTGATGCCCATGATTGGTTGCCAGGCTACGGCTGGTGAGTTGGTGTAGTATAGTACTATGCCAAGCTCTTTGGGTTTTCTAGTATGCGCATTGCCATCGCGACACTACACATGGATTTTATTCTATAGCAGACTACTTTCTCGGCAACTACGTCTCGGCAATACTGAACTCTCTTGAGTGAACAGACCAACCCCACGCTAATTCCTCCCACGATAGGTCTATCTGCAGGACCCCTGTGCTACACCAATACGAGGACAGGGACAACTTTACTTAAATATATATTCCACTGGAACCAAGGAGGCTGCCCGATCATTACAAATCTGCGCGCTCATCCTCATCATGTTCCGCGAGCGTGACTTCCTAGTAAGAGCATCCGACGACAAGGCATTTGATGATTTTGCTAATTCATTCAGATGTGTATTACGACCGAGATCTGTTCAACTTTACCCGATGCCGTTTCGTTAACAACGAGAAGCAAGAAACGTCCCAGCGCCATGTGCGTTTCAACGTCAATGAGCTTGCACGCCGTGCGGCAGATGTTGTTAGTGCAAAAACATACATGAACGTTGCAAAGTACCCAGATAGTATGTACAACAAAAGTATGCTGTTAATTATAAATAATCGCTCTCGGGTAGTGGTCAAAGTTCCAAATCCAAATGCTGGTCTTCCTCATTGGATCACTGCGAGCGAGGTTGCGACGATGGATTTCGTAAGTTCCATTAGCAGGCTTTGGGTTTTTGTATCTTGCTTACAGATTTTAGGCCCTCAGAATTCTTGAAATACCTATCCCCAAAGTGTTGGCCTGGTGTTTCCAGGCTCATGAGGATCCAGTTGGGTCAGAATACATCATGATGGAAGATGTCCAGGGGTGCAACTAAAACAAGTTCGGCCAAAAATGAGCATACAAGATAGATTTGCTATTGTCAGATCAATCGCTGGTTTTAGAAAGTCTGGACTTCGGTCGCTTTCACAAGATATGGAAGCTTGTATTCTTCAAGAGACCTAGAAGATACGCGCAGTAGCCAGCCACTCTACATTGACGCAAATGGTGGTAATACAGCAGACAAAAGATTTGCTATTGACCCGTCCGTAGCACGCGAAACATTCGATAACGGAAGAGCAGCCATTTATTTCGATAGAGGATCATGTAAGTAGGCTACCGAAAAAAGACAAGGGGATTCACTGAAGGTGTATCATCGCGCCATCGGACAACATGAAATAGCGTGTATCAATCAGCTTTCCGAATTACCCAAATCTCCGATAACCCTATGTGGCCCGGGAATTTATCAGCTAACGAAGGGAAAGAAGGTCAAGGCTTTACACTGCTACCTCGATCTCATAAAACAGCGTCTTCCAGAAGATCAAACGATATCGTCCGCGCATCTTTAGCATGATGACCTGCATGTTGCTAACATCTTTGTCGACCTCGCTGAGCCTACCGAAGCTGTGGGCCTTGTTGACTGGCAGTCAACGGAAAAATCTCCACTCCACTTTCATGCTGGGCATCCCCAAATTATTAATTATATTGGCCCTCCAATTAACGGTGTGGAATGACCACAGCCTCCGAAAGACTGGGAAGAATTGAAACCATCCGAGAAAGGCAGCTAACACGCTATATTTACAGCAACCGCTCTGTTCGTTGTACCACACTCTCATAGATCACCGAATTTCTCGACTTTATGCGGCGCTCCGGTTTCAGCATACGGGAAAGTACTCGCTTCTATTGTTGGCACGTAATCTCCTCATTGATGGTGAGGCGCTTTACCTTGGCAAAATCACAGAGCTTGAACAAACTTGGGATGAGTTTTCAGGCAAAGAAGATTCAAATTACCTGTTTGCCTTCTCGAACAAGGAAAGAGAGGAGCTCAAGGCTGATGCTGAAGGTGCAACACGAGGTATGGAAGCAATGAGGTCTATAAAAGAGAGCTTAGGAGATTTGTTCCCTGGGAAGGCATAGTGAAGGCAGATGATTATGAAGAAGTACTGGACGCCTTGTCACAGATGAAGGATCAGATGATTAGTGCATTTGTCACCAACGCGAGGGGAAGGCAGGCTTGGGAAAAGGCCTGGCCGTTTGGGAACTAAACTCGATTGGTTTAGAAGATGGCACAAAGAACCACGTTCAAAATCTACTTGCCAAGGCTTGGATAATTGACAGCCTAGTTAGATTGGAAGATTTGGCTAGTGTGTATGGCTAATTGCTACACTGTCTTTTCTCTAGTGGCGTCAACGAGCGCTGAAAAGAGACGAGTACTGGAGCCAGAGAGCCTTCCTATATCCGCCAGCTTCATTCAGCTCAAATTGGTAATACAGAGGCAAGAGTAGCTGCAGATACTAAGAGTCTCAGATCAAAGATCATCGCTTAGTAAAAGTGAAAATTTACAGCTTGTAGGGTCCGAAACAGCGAAGTGAAGAGGTATACATGTAGCTAGATGATTCAGACTATCTAGTTATACAATTGCATCAGGTGAGACACACATTATTATCCTCAATGCGCGTTCGCCTGGTGTCATGTGTCTGGTTCAGTTGAGTGTCGTGAATGCGTTGCCCTATATAGACCTATCAACTGAGGATAATTGGCGCCCAGCCTTGTGCAACAGCCCCGAAGGGGACGTAAGGATGAAAATTTTCTTGTCTATATCCTTGTTGTACTGTTCAGCTCCTGCAAGCCCACACTTTGTCGAGCGCCACAAATTGCACTCGCACCCCGTAAGCGTACTAGCCAGCGACGGGCCGCAGCCTTGGCAATAAAAGAACGAAACGTTCCGGAATAGAACGACTTAGGCCATCCATTCTACACTCGTAATTGCTGTAATCCTTCGAAGTCATTCGTATATTCACCATACTCATTATCCGGCGATATTAATGCGGACTACAGATCAGACATTCTACTTATTGAATGTGTAAGCCATTGGTCAAGCTGGGCCTCGGTTAGGTTCTAAATTGGAATGGTTTCCCTTATTGAATATATGTATGCAATGACCGTCCGTTCCGTCCCGTTTATACAACAGTCTACAAAGTACTCCTTCTCAATAATCACAATCACAAACCGGGTTCTAAAAAAAGCTTTCGCCAAGAATGATTAGTCCATTCAGTCTCCAAATCCTTTTTTTAGCCCTGACCACACATGCAACTGGTAATAAATTTCTCAAGCGAGCTGGACATAATTCTAACTCCCGAATGTCGAGCGGTGAAAGCTCGTTGTACTAACATTGACAGCAAATGCAGTCGCACCTCCACCACCTTCTGCTCAGGCTTGTCTCAACTCGTGGACTCGATATGACTCCCTCGTGTCAAGTATAACATCTGAAACGTTCACGACCAATATTACCTCGACTGTATTCTTTACCACGTTCCCAGCTGTTCCAACTTCAACCTTTTGCGATAACATCCCTCGTCTACTGGGCCGCCAATACAGCGCATTTGTCACAGAATGGTATCCGAGAACAGCAGTTACCACTCATCCGAGCATTACCATTCCGACGCCAACTTGCACGGTAAATGGAAATGATTGTGCCAAACTCCGTTCGAGCTGGAGTTTGGCTCATGCAACAGAAACCCCAATCCCACAATTCCCGGTCCCATGCGAGGCATACAGAGCCTGCTCTTCTGTTCCCTCCGGCCCATGCACCTTGGCAGGATCCGGTATAAAGATTTACTACTGGCCGACACCAGCAACTCAGCCACTCTGCCCTCAAACAAACACACTCATGCCAATCAGTCGTCCAACACCAGAAGCAGGAAAGCCCAAGTCACCTGTAGTGAAGGTAATTGACGGCCTTACAGTTACCTCGCCTTCGATCTACATATCAATCCCAACCTTATATGGGCAGCTCCGCGGTGTGCCAACAAATTTATTCACTGGCTGCGGTTCTCAACTAACATCGCTTACACTATCAATTCCACCGTCGCCAATTTCCACACTTACTAGGCGGTCGAGGGTTAGGAGACCCACCTTCGAGAGTCCGAAGCCTTTTGCGCTAAGCACGTTGAACTGGCCAGTTTCAGCGACAGAAATCTGCTCGGAACAAACCTTTTGTGAATGGAACAATGCTATAAGCACTTGCACCGATGTACTTAGCACTATATGTGTGACACCAACCATAAACCCGTATGATTACAACCCAGCGCTCTTGTTACCGACTGACTTGGTCGGCCTGGCTGCAAAACAAGAAGGTAGTTACCAGAACTGTGTGGTAAGTCTCATTGATGCACTGGACATGAAGCATTGAAATAACATTCTCAGGTTCATCGGGCGGCTGCTGCTGCTGCGACTTGGATTCCGATTACAACGCTCGCAGGTGATCCGAGGTATACCCAGGGGTGGTCAAGTACTTCGACGATACTTCCAGTTACTCTTACAGCAGCACCTACACCTGAGATTACTTCTAATTGATGATAGTGGGGACGTCGGCGGTAGACAAGGATATGTAGCATTATTTCGGGAAAGCAAGAATAAACAATGATGTGGGCCTGCTCATCCAAGGCTGGTTCGCGAGAAATCTTCCAATGCAGAAACGATCAATGAAACCAATCAAATGATGAACCATCCACGCGGCCATGCGAACTTGCCGTAATACATAAAGCAGCTGACACTAACACTCGAATGCCCTAGGATAGGACGTGGTAGCTTTTGAGTAGCTTGGCTCGAGAGGCTATGGCAACTATCTAAAAAGGTTCAGTTTCGATATAGAGGGTTGTTCTATGCCGCTATTACCTAAGTGGGATGGAATGATTTAGCACTGGGCCCTCGAGCCGGTAGTTCTGGCAGTAGAGCAATGACCCTGGGTACAGGGCGTGCAACAACTCAGCCATTGTGCTTTAGGGAGTAAAGGACATTTGCCAATACAATCCGCGTAATTGTCATCGCAAAGTGCAACTATGTAGTATTAGCACTGATCTATCTTGGTAGTCGTGCAAACTAAGGCATATACATAGTCTTACCTGCTGCCAGCGTTCCTGTATAAAGTATAAAAGATACTGCTATACACTTGACGAAATGCATAACTGTTATGTCGTTGTGCGTGAGCGTTATTCAGTCTTCAGTTATTCTAGTGATGATGATAGTAGAGCGAGAACAATGGTTGTAAAGGGAAAACTATAAGAGTAGTGACTAGCAAAGAACAAGATTGACTTGATACTGTGCAACTCTCTCCAGAATTCTCCATTTTATAGACATCTCAACATAGGTCGCGCTTGTATGTATGCGTTCTTCGTGTCAGGAGCATACATGGGTGAATCCTTTATTGGACGTTGAACTCTGCTACTATCAGTGTCTAGAATCATGTTTTTACGAGTTAGAGTAAGCCTTGTTGTTGATATCCTCTGTTTGGTTGGCTGATAACCACTTTGACAATTTGGTGGCTGCTGAACTTGTTTCACAAAAAAAAGCTATGATCAAGTATGGCTAGGTGACGACGGTCTAGAAGCTCCCCTGAGTTTGTCTACTCGATGAAGGGCCCACTGAAACCAACACGAACCATCCGTGGGTTGCCTAAGTATTTATTGGAAGTATTTCAGGAAGTCCCTAAGTTGTTTTGGAACCCATGTATATTATCCTGTGTAGAAGAATAACAGAAAGTAGATCATTGCTACATTTTTTGGTTATAGCGGCCCAGTGACATAAGGCCAAGCTCATGATATGATGATTAGCGTTCTGTTAGGGCCTCTGTCGAATGCCCGACCTGGTTTACCGTATCGTATAGATCTACCGGATTACCACCGGGGATGCTGACCTTGATTATGGTCAGTACTATTTCCAGTATAGTCGGGTTGAAATATACTACTTCACTAGTTTCAATCTAGGTAAGGCCGAGAAGGAACCGTAAAATCGATAACTCGTGAAGACGCCTTGGATGCATTGTCGCAGATAAAATCAGGTGATCTATGCATCTACTCCCAAATTGAGAGAAAGAGAAGTTCGGGTAAGGGCATAGCCGTTTAGGAATTCATCAATTAAACACCGATATTACCCAACACTCAATCTATCGATGCATACATGGAGCGAGTTTTGAGCAATACAGCAGTGCTAGATTACCCCTGACTATATCTGAAGTTGATTACTGGTCTGCAACACCAATCTTAGTCTCAACCTTAGCGAAGGAGAAGGTGCTAGACTCTTCACTCAAGTCTGCATCAATTATTACAAGTGCGCGCATTCGACTGCCACGATTATAGCCGGTAGTAGCTATATTGGAGGCTGTATCGACTGCACTTTCCCTTATCGTAAGATTAGCTTTGGTGAATGCCTTTTGACGAAGAACTGAGCACAGGGCAGGGCAAAGCAGTGCAGGCTAGGGCAAAGTAGATCGAGACCTACGGCTGTGGCTAAAGCTAGATATACTAGGATTTATAATATCTAACATATACTACTATAAGTGTAAGAGACTACAGCGTAAATAAGATATGTAATGATGTTGTATTAAACGGGTGTATAAGGTGTGCTATCTACAGGTTCTAGTATAATTGGCGGAGGTATAGATGTCTTCGCCGTAGCCGCTTGTATTGACATAGATGAATCACCAATGAAGAGAGCAGTAAAGGCACAAATAAGTTTCAACCCTCGAAGAATGACCCCCTTTCTACTATACACAAAGGTTCTCCTCTTATATTTCGTCTATCAAACGGCAGTGTCAGTATAAGAGTCACTAGCGACCCTGTGCATATGTATAATATATCTACTTAAAGACTACGTACTTAATAAAACGTTCTTATTTAGAACAACTAAGATGATTAGAATTCATAATAGTTAGTAAACAACGCCTCAAGTTCTATGTATTCTACTCTATTATTCATTCAGAATATAAGTAAAGTCAGAGAGACTCTACTTAAGATAATATTAAAGACTTGTTAGGATAGTAAGGAGTAGACAAATGGTAGATCAAGATCGACAAGGATGGTGATAATTGATGTAGTGCCCCAATGGCCTGAACAAGAAATATAATTTAACATTAATCGTAATCCTAGTTATTTCATAGGATCTTAGGAAGAAATATAAGCGGATATGAGAAAGAGATAACACTACTTACGTATGACGTTGCATCACTCTACCTAAGTTTATATCATAATATATCATTATCAAACTTGATAAATATAATTAAAAGTGAAATATTGTAGGAAGATACGATTCACCCGAGATATACGTGTGTATTGATGGATAGGTTAGTACAGTACATAATCACTAATAAACGTCCAAAAGTTGATTAACCTATTAGATACAATAATGATCGGAAATTTAAGGCCTCTAACCTTCCCTTCTAACACTTTAATATCTCAACTTACTCTCTTTATCTAATCACGTTTTGTATCTATCTGTGGTTGTAGTCTACTACTAGACCCTAACTGCGCCGTATCTAAATCTCCCTCGATCGTAGTTGCACTTCTCTCACACTGATTCTGAAGCTGGCCCGTGTGAGTATCATTAGGTTGATCGACGTTTGCTAAAGTGCTTAGATGACGGTCGATATCTTTGCTCTTTGCAATAACTAAACCGACGTCATCCCGAGGAAAGATTCTTCTCTGGTTAAATGAGACGTTTTGCTTGCGTATTCTAATCCATACCATGCCTGCCATAACAAAAGATAGTGTGAACGAAGTCACAACGCCCATGACGATCTTGCCTGGGTTGCCGAAGAGCTGGCCATCGATTTCGTGAATAGTCCAGGGGAAGCATTCCGACGTGACTGTGATATAGATACCGAGGCCGATATAAAGGAATGGTATCATGAATGAAGCATACTTCTCAGCGACATGCACAATATGCTTCTGCTTCATTATAAGAAAAGTGATGAGACATAGAACACCAAGAAGGATGTAATAAGTCACGACATATATCGCAATCGCTGCACCCTGAACTTGGGAGAAGAGAGGGATGTATGTGCCGATGTTGTCCCCCCCGTTCATGATGGTTATTGTGGCGACCTTGAGGATTGTTTTGGTGTTTGCGATTCGCTGCGACTCTTGCTCTTCTTCCTCATCGATACTTTTCGGGAAAAGGACGCCGAGTCCTTTCCAAACACCAAGCAGGAGTGGTAATAGCCCCAAAAATCCGATAGGTTCAGAGGGAAGCCCTACTGCGGCAGCAAACCCAATCAAACTAACGCCAGTGATGACAGTGAAACCGATGTATTGGCCAACGATAATTTTAGTAGGAGTTAGGTTCCGTGAACTCTTTGATTCTGCGAACAACGTAACAAGCACAAATATATCGTCGATATTGGTGAGGATGAACGAGAGACATGCTTCGCCAACGGCACTACCGAACTGCATTATTGAGGTTGATGATTTTGACTGTACGGCAAGCAGACCGTTGGAACAAGGATATAAGGACAAAGGTGTTGAAGCCACAGCCGGGAGAGAATTGATGTGGCTGGGGTTCCTTTTCTAACGGTGTTCGGACTAGATAAGCCACAGGATTTTTCAGGGCCCCCACCAAGGTGCCAAGAAGCATAGCATAACACCGTAGGTACCCACCTTATTTTGAATCATCCAATCAGACCTTCATCTGGATCTGGCCCCATGTTTCTCTATTTCCTATTCGATCTGGTTAGTCAGAGATCAGATCAAAGCAGCCACGTACAACTTTTCAGAGCTTTCGCCGGAAGATCGGCCTTCCCCAAGGCCTGCCAAGCTGCTAACAAGCACAGCCCTATTTCAATTCCCTTGCGCCATTGCCGTTATTGCCGTTTAGAATGATTTGTGAGTTTTGTGTTTCTGTTGTTCCTTATCTTTCAAGAATCTGTGCCACGTTATGTAACTGCATAGAATTACTGAGATACTGAGTTGATTACGTTAGATAAGACCCACAACCTCCTTGGGCCAGCGTGTCCATGGCTCCCAATATGAACCCAAGCAGTCGTCAATGGCACTTACGATAGTCTTTCCGCAGCCTTCTGCCCACCAACATTCATCAAGCTTTTGCAGCAAGGCCCCGAAATGAGCAAATAAGACCAATGCTGCTGGCTGCCGCTGGCGTTGCAAATCAAAAAACTTCTCCGGGGCAATGAACAACCACATGAAAGGCCCCGACCCTATCCCGTGGTAGCCACATTCTCCGCTGTCATTGCCACCTGAGTTTTTTAGTTGCACCATCCAGGCCCAAAACTGACGCAAAAGATTTAGACTGGTCTCATATACTTCGGCATGTTTGTCATCTTTCCAGAGTTGTCCGATGCCTCTCAGTCTTTCGTCATCGGCTGTTGGATTGTCATTTGGGTTGATTGCCTCCCAGTTACCAAGACTTATCAATGAGCTCAGTGGGCCCCTACGAACGTGTTCAAGCACAGGAGGCAGAACAGCTCCAACGCCTCGAAGTAGCGGTATCCATTCCGCGCCGAGGATGCGCGATACTCTAGAACAACCCCCAAGCTGCTGGTCAAAATCGTGCTGAAGTTGGCTCAAAGTGATGAACGCGTGAAGGAACAATAGAGTAGCGGTTGCGAACACAGCATCGCCATTGTCAGCACCAATATGGTTTATCGCCTCATGAAACCCCTCCAATGCCTTAGCATGATGATAGCCTGCATCTATAATTGATGAATGTCTGCGCGAAGGGTTTAGATAGGCGACGTGGAGAGCCGCGATACTGAGAAGACTGTGCATGACGTAGGGGTGTTGGAAAGCAATCCTTGGGAAGTGAATACGCCAAACTTCAGCTGAACTCGGAGATTCTACCATACTTTCACTAGTAACGAGGTTCCAGTGATGCAGGAGCTCCATATCTTTCAAGTCGAAAAGGTGCTGGGGGCGGCTCAGGTCAAAGTAAGAGGGTTTGCGAGTATGCGTCACTGGGCAGCCCGATGGACTGCCAAGATTTTCTGATTGGGTCGGCGAACATTTGGACGGAACGAGCTGGGTTGGGGCCCCAGGGGTAACATCGTATACGCATGATACGTGGTGCCGGGTGCAATGCGTGCAGCTAGGCTTTCCTTCACTGCACTGACACAAGCAAGTTAGTTTTGTTGCGCACCTTTCACATGATGAATTTGACGCTCACTTGCCTTTATCCGTCGTCTCTTGCATTCCCTACATCCAGCACGTGATTTACGGTGCGCTCGTCGTGTTTTGACCATTTGCGACTTGCAGCTCTGCATGAAATGTCGTAAATCAACGTTTGAACGCGCTAAGTAGGCAAACGAGATACGCAGTTGCTGGGGCGGGCTGCCCTTTATGTCATTGATTGGATCGCCAAGCTTCTGGACGTAGCGTCAGCGCCATTGCGGCATCTCCACGCACAGTCATTGGTGAGCAACTGCGACTCATGGACACTAGTCACTGTCGATCCCCCTTCACCGCGAATCATATTCATGCTCCAGACGCAAGTGGAGAGAATTGACATGCAGGCAAGGTTGGCCATCGTTTTTAGATCGCGAGGTAGCGCATCTCGTAAAGCGTGCAGTTCCATATCTACTTTAGTGCGATGTCTTATTGCAGGATGTACATGTGGGTGGCAATTCCATTCGCGCACACACGTCTAGATCACTATGAATAGGTGTAAATATTTCAGAGTAGATAGTTAGTTTTCTAGCCTTGGTGTAATGAATCGAGTTTTGAACAAACATATTTGAAGTAACTAACATTTATGCAATAAACCAAGAGAGATGTATACCTATACCTCAAATAGCATACGTCAAGATGAAGTTCTCTCCTCCTGCAACACGAAAGGTTCCGTTTCCGTCTACTCTCTGACCGTTGACGTTGAAGGTCCCTCTCGTCCGCCCATTTCCATCTAGTAGGGGCACAACCACTGTACCCAAACTTCCGCTTGGACTCTTCACCTCTAGTCTCTTTATCACGGTACCAGTGGCATTCCAGGCCACGGAGATCTCGCCCCCGGCTACGGGTAACCTTCCTCTCGCCCAGTCCAGCCCAAGTGTCATTGGAGCAACCTTCCATTCTTTGTAGCCCGGCTTTACAGCACTCACTCCTAAGACGTGCTCACTAAGTTCTCCAGTCGGACCTGCAGCCCATCCGTGGCACAGACTAGTTGTTCTTCCAAGTGCGGGAAGGCCTGTGGCGTTCAGCGTTTCCCAGAAACACCCAGTGTAATATGAGCCTTTCGGGTTAGCCATTGGTGCCCAAAGGCTTTTCAGAAGATTCATAGCAGACTCGCTATCTTTGCTCTGAAATGCTGCGCGCAGATGATAAGCGGATGCATAGGGACTGATGTACTTCGCAAAACCAGATGTAGTAACTGCTCGCGAGAAAGCAAAAGGACCGACAGGTGTGGAAAGCTGTTTGAGGCTATTCAGAATCCTTGATGAAGTATGGTTATTCTTATTCACTCCAGCGAGGATGGCCAAAGCGTTCGAGTCTTGACCAAAGCCGTCTTTGATGGCGTCGGAAACGTAGTATGCGTTGAGCTCATTCGACCAAAGCGTTTTGTCAATGGCCATCCGCAAAGCTTCCAGTCGCAAGAGGTATGGCTCCGTATCGATGCCACCGTCGGCGAGTAAAGTAATGCATTCCTGGAGAGCGTATGCGTAAACCATGTTGAATTTAGAGACAATACCAGTCTGTGGCGCATCGTAATAGTTCCAATCACCGCCAAAAGCAGGGTTGCTAATGTTCAGTAATCCATTTTCAGGAAGAATTTGGGAGTTTGCCCAGTCTAGCATGCGTATAGCTCTTGGTGCCCACTCATTTGGTAGTTTGTCGTCGCCAGTACGCTTGTAAAACCCTGCAACAGCGGTGAGAAGGTTGAATGAGTAACCGATCAGACCAGTCTGGCTGACGTTAATGGGTGTGGAAAGTGGTCCCTGTTGGATCTTTGCAGTTGGTGCGAAAAATCCTGGAGTCAACTGGTAAGAACCAATAAGATCCAGCGTGCCTTGAACATAGCTAACACCATTTGTGCTCGCTAGTGAAGACACCAGCGCGATATCTAGATCGCCTGCATACGCAATACGATCGCGTTTCGAGCCGTCTACCGTAGTATCCCGCGGGTTTGTGCCGACAAGGAAATCAGAAAAGAAAGTTTCGTCAGTCAAGGAAGCTGAATAAATTCGTTCTCCTGACAGGTCTGTGGCGGACAAGTTGCGGAAAACAGCCGAGTGGCCTAGCGGTGCACCGAATCCGAACGACCCAAAAAAAGATGAAGTCTGCGAGAATTGAAAAACTGGGACCTCTTGGATGACAACAGCAATGTGAGTCATTTTGGCCATTACTTTCACTTTGTGCCAGGTACCGATGGTTACACTCTGCGGAAGCGTTGCAAATGCAATCTGAGGAGAGTCCTCAGTAGCTCCGAAATGTGCTGAAATCGACCCATTCGCAATGTTGCAGGATATGTAAATTCCTGAATTCAGCGTATCAGCGAGTACCGAGAATGCAAACCCTTTTGCGATTGGTTTTACTTCGAACACAAGCTGGTATTCCATCAACGCAGCAGCTATGCCACCCGCAGAAAGCACCTGAGGTGCTTGGCTTTCAACCAAGGTTCCTTCCAGCGAGACCTGCCAGAATGGAGGTATCGATTTCGCAGGAATGTCATTCAATTGAACAGTTCTCGCTCCTACTGTCCAGATTCTATTCAAATCCTCGTCCGATGACTCGAAGTACCCTGGCAGTTGATTAAGCGGTGTGCTTGGAATTGATGGTTTCACTCCAACGTTCTCGAGAACCAGTTCGCCAGCTGTCGAGAGATTGAACTTTTGGTATCTAAAGCCTCCTTGGATAAGTCTGTTTGTTTGCACCAATGGCCCGCTGATGTTATATTGATTAACTCTGTACGTGTCCATAGCTGCCGCTAATGCGAGAGGCCCATCACTCTGTTATTGGAATCAACATAGACACTGGATACTTCTGGTGAGGCACATACCATGTAGTGATTATCCAGCACTTCTCTAGACTCGCTGTATGTGATCTCCAGACCAGATGTATCTCCGATAGCAGAAAGGACTTGAAATGTCGGAAAGCCCTCGACATTTATTCCATAATCAAGTACTACGACGCCCGGAGTCGATTTGGATCCTTTGATAGTGAACGTGCCATTTGTCGCATATATCGGTACACTGCTGTTGCTTGTCGAAAATGATAGGCCGGAATATCGTATAGTTTGCCCTGATTGGATGTTCGATACTGATAAGGCTCCTGATCTTGCCACACAAGTCAGGAAAACCAGCTGAGAGAACCTCATGGTGTTTGTCCCAGTGTCTAGCAAGGATTAACTGAAGGATACGGACAAAGAGCAGCGAATGAATGACAGAAGCAACGTGTAATGGTCACAAGCATGGTGGTTGAGGATATATATACTATGGTCTCCGGCAAAAGTAGTGTACACTGTCAAAGCTTCTGCTAAGGGGGGGTAGTGCCGGAGATTGTAAATCAACTAAACCAACTTGGGATGAGATGGAAGCTCAAGGCCCGATATTTAGGGGAGAAAATCAGAGAATCACAAGTTATAATACAAATTACTATAGATCAGCGTGCAAAACTGATCTATTATACCACTTTAGTCGATCATAATCTCCAGCACTACCCCCCCCCCCCCCCCCCCCCCCCCCCTGGCAGAAGCTTTGATAGTGTACACTACTTTTGCCGGATACCACAGTATGTTTTCGTTACCGGTATTACCTAAGGGCAATACTAATTACTTAGTTCCTCGTGGAGATCGTTTTGCTCAACGGGTTGGTAATTTCCGAGTTCGACCCCGTGACTTCGCATGGTCAACTTCAGTATCCTAACTCAAGGCAACGCTTCTGTTTCTGCTCCACTCATTAATATACGTTGTTCCCGTATGAGCCGTTGTGGGCACCTATCAGGCACAGGAGCGCAAAGACGTTTCGCGGGTGCGCACAGCCTGAAAGCATGGTACTAGCTTCGCCCTAAGCCGCCCTTGTTCTGAATCAGGAAGTATGCAATCTTGCTCAGAGAAGCTTTTCACAATGATGATAAGTTACCACGAATCTAAGGAAGTCTGTCTCAGACTCGTATGGCGAGATCCAGATTTGCACGCAATGTATCATCACATGGTAAAAATAGCACTTTTGAAAGCTCGCGAGGAGATGACTCGAGTTTAGACGACATGTTCAACTTGAGAGGCAATTATGGTTGTAAGCGACGAGAAAATGAATGCACGCGATCGCTGGGTGGCGATGTTCTGAAAGCCTATGCTCAATTACTCACGTTTGTTACGAACCTTATGATGTGGCAAGTACTACACCTACTGTTTGAGATATACACCAAGGGTGACCAACGGTCGCTGTGCCTTTTGCTGGCGAGCTAGTCTTCCATTCTGGGCCGAGCTGTTACTCATACTCAACATGGACCGGTAGGTTCCCGGCCAGGTAATGTTGGTGACTATGCCTATTGGGCCATGTCATCGCTAGCCGAGGCGCTGAAGCTAACCTCAATGCCATGGTGTCATTGCCCAAAGCAACATGGCGTTGAACGCGTTTGCAGTTCGGTGCTGCTCGTTTCAGAGCATACCAAAGTGCAAACCTACCTTTGTACTTTCGCACATCGGCACAAGGACAACATGCAAAGATTGCCTGAGATAACCAATGCTATCAATTAGGTAATGTATTGAGGATGCGTGAGTCTGGCCCACTAACGTTACCAAGTATGCTATTGGTTACTAATGGCTGCAGATCATCTGCGTGGTTGGTCCCAGCGCTTGGTACGAAATACGCAATGCGACCGCAGGTGGCGCAAGCGTCGATACGAAAGATACGAAAGCGCTTTCACATCGAGTGAGCTAGGCTACCTTTGTCATGACGCGAAACCCATGCGTACCTATCCACAGTTCATGATGCGTGGCAATCTAACACAGACTACTAAACCTAGTTGCATTTGCCTAACTCTGCCGAATAACAAGCCATGCCTTTTGGTATTTAGTGAACAATATCTTGCAAAACTTCATGAAGTAGCGGATAAGACTGTCAAAATAATCACACCGAGGAGTCAGTTTGTTAATGTTAACAATGATATCGGATACTGCAGATTTCAAACATCTCAACCACCCATCAGATGACATGGACTTTGCCTGGGACAAACCTCCCCCTTATGAGCTACACTCCTCCAGTACTCTCCTCTCCAGCTCGTGCACAGTGCAAGGTATCGCATTCTATCTTTTGCTTCGTTCGTGACACTAACTATGCGCCATAGCTGATGGGACGCTGAATATCGACCTTACCTCCTCAGCCCCAACTGAACTTGAACAGTCACTTCCTGTACATCCACCAACGGGACTCGAATCAGGCGTGAGAATACCTAGACGGTGTCCGCGATTGAATGTTGTCGTGCAGGTCGTGGGCAGCAGAGGAGATGTACAGCCATTTATCGCCCTAGGAACCGCTCTTCAACAATATGGGCATCGTGTACGGCTGGCCACTCATGACGTATTTGCCGATTTCGTGCGTAAGTCGGGTTTGGAGTTTTATCCTATCGGCGGCGACCCAGAGGAGTTGATGTCTGTAAGTGCCCAGTGTATTGCAACGTGTAGAGTTGCTTGTTGACCATTACGAGTAGTATATGGTACGCAATCCTGGCCTACTTCCATCTCTCAATTCTTTGAAAGGAGGCGAAATTTCACGAAAGCGGCGCATGATTCACAAAATGTTGCAAGGTTGCTGGAACTCTTGCATTCTCCCAGACCTGGTATCACATGAACCTTTCGTTGCAAATGCAATCATTGCGAATCCACCATCTTTCGCACATGTGCACTGTGCGCAGGCTTTAGGAATTCCTGTCCATATGATGTTCACGATGCCCTGGACGGCCACGCGTGCATTTCCACACCCGCTCACAAACGTAAAAGCTACGGATATACAGCAGTCGCAAGCGAACTATCTTAGCTATGGCCTTGTCAATATAATGACTTGGCAGGGGTGAGTGATATATCTCCAACTCAGTGCTTTATAGATGCCACATTGCTGTAAAGATGTACTGATGAAGCATGGTGAACTAAAATTACTATTCAGGCTGGGTGATGTCATCAACCTTTGGCGAGTCAAGGACCTTGAGTTAGAACCTGTTCATCCGAGTATGGGTCCCGATCTTGTGGACTGGTTGAGATTACCTGTCACCTACTGCTGGTCGCCAGCACTAGTTCCAAAACCTCACGACTGGGGTTCGAATATTGGTAAGGAATCAATATCTCATAAAACCAAGCATTCCTCTAATAGGTGTGAGATATCTGCGGATTTTTCATGCGAGAAGAGCCTGTATACACACCGCTTGAAGAACTTTCGACGTTTCTGCGCAGGGGCACTGTCCCTCTGTACGTTGGATTCGGTAGCATAGTCCTGGAGAATGCGAAGAGAACGACCGAAATTATCCTTGAAGCTTGTAGGAAAGCCAATGTGCGGGTCATTATTTCGAGGGGATGGAGTAAATTAGGAGGCAATGATCCGAATACCGAACATGTCTTTTACTTAGGAGACTGCCCTCATGGTAAGCGCTGACCGATCGTCTAAATGCAAATATCACTAAAATCCTGAAGAGTGGCTTTTTAAGCACGTCTCTGCTGTGGTACATCATGGCGGAGCAGGCACGACAGCCTGCGGCCTATACAACGCTCGACCGACAGTCATAGTGCCTTTCTTCGGCGAGTAAGCAGTGAGCTCTGGACGAGCCAGGTATCTCCCATGGCTAATTCGAGCGATAGTCAACCCTTTTGGGGCAACGTCGTTGCCAGCAATGGCGCTGGACCAGCCCCAATACCACACAAGTCTCTGAGCAGCCAGAACTTGGCAGACGCAATCAAATTCTGCCTGTCATCCGAAGCTCAGCAGGCTGCTCGAGCTGTCGCAGATCAGATGCGCTGCGAAAATGGGGTTGATATGGCTGTGCAGTCATTTCATCGTCATGTCAACTCCTCGAACATGAACTGTGATATGTCACCTCAAGATGTCGCAGACTGGGTTTGCCGTTCACCAGAATCAGGATTAGACATGAAAGTTTCACACGCTGCTTTGAGAAATTTAACCTCCAGTGGACAACTGAAGCTTGCAAATGCAATACCGTAAGCCCCTTCACCTCTGCTTAGAGAATTCTACAGTGCTCATATCAGAAAGGTATCGACCAAAGCAGTATAACATGGACCTTGAAAGATGGGACCCATTGACCGCGGGTGCATCAGCCTCCCTTGGCATCGTGACGGATTTTACGTCCGCACTCGGAGGTACCTTCGTCAATCCGTTCAAGAAAGCTAGGCAAGCTCGACTTGCGGGTAGTGACAGCGCATCATCTAGCTTGGCAGCAGCTGGTGCTGTAGGTCAAGGCGTCGCAGCAATGGCGTCTAGCGTAGGCAAAGGGGCCTTCGTTAGCATGCCTTTGGCTCTTGCAGAGGGATTCAGGTACGCTCCAAAGCTTTATGGCGATGATGTCAAAGACCACGGTAAAGTAAAGGATTGGAAAAGCGGAGGGATGATTGCTGCCAAGGTTTGAATTGATCCTCATTAGCAATGTCATTGTATTAACGTATTCTCAGAACTTTGGAACTGGTTTCTACGAGGGAATTACGGACATCGTTACAAAGCCGCGAGATGGGGCAAAGAAGGAAGGCGCAGTTGGATTTATGAAAGGTGTAGGCAAAGGTTCGCTAAACATGGTAACAAAACCCGGAAGCGGTGAGTAAGGTTCAAATTGATTCTCATTGAAGATGAGGCTGAGTGAAAACGTAGCAATGTTTGGATTGATGGCATACCCTGCACAAGGAATTTACAAGAGCATAAAGAGCTGCAACAAGAGCACTGTCCCGAACAAAATTCAGGCTGAGAAAATTGCATGTTTTCGCTGCCAAAGATCCGCTGGAAGATCATCAGTGCTAGAGAGTGACTGAAGTCAATAGCCAGATGCGAAGGCTATCGGACTAAGGGTAGTTGGCCCCCCGCAAACAAGTAGGTTCATGGGCTGGTTAGGCTGATCTTGAGTTGTTGTACTTTAGTCCTCTAGTTCTCTTCATTTCGTAGAGCACTAGCGGCCGTGAAAAATGACAGAAATCTATATCAAACCAACGGGGTTATGTCCAGAGATACTTTCCGACCTACTTCCAATAAGCGAATATTTTGGTCAAAGAGACAAGATTTATTACTGATGATATTTGTTCAGGCTGTATGGATACTCGTATGGATCTTCGACTGTGAATATTGATAGAGTCTTCGTGTTAACACAGTCTTTGTTATTTTAGTGGTCTCGAGCCATAAATCCGATGTTTTCTGCCTTTGAGTTGACGCTCTGATGACTAAATTTCGATAAACATGAAGATAGTAAAGGCCACTACCCTATTTTAGTGTTCAACAAAGATTGGAAAAGACCCCAATTTTTGTCTCTTCGAATTTTGTTAAGGGGACTCCCTATCAACGACTTGGGTAGCGCGGAGGATCCAAGCATCTGTTGCAGAGTGGTTGTGCCGCCTGTACCCGTTCCACCCGCCTCCGTACCATGGTCAGGTAAGGTCCAGTCGGACGACCGGGATTTGGAACTTAATCTGCCCCTGCCAAAATTTCGGCCCATGCAGCATCGCTTCCAAATAGTCTCATAAATAATACCAAGGATAGAGCTCTTCCGTGAGATCTTCATCTGATTTTCACCTCGGATGAACCAGAATGGTTTTCCGGATATTTTCGGTCGACATCCTACATAATGTGGGTAGCACGTTCATTTGGACCTTCACGCCGGGGTTCGCTAAACTTTGGGCTTTGAAAGCCGCTAGCTTCTATTAGCATCTGATACAACTTTTGTCAACTTCAGATTATATCTCGCACCTTTGTTAATCTTTTGATTTTAAGTCTCCGGATACTCACGGTAACCAGAGCTGCGCGTTGTCAAGGAGAATTTTGTTTTCCTACTTTCATCAGCATGAACTCTTGTATTTATGAAATTGTGAACATGAATATGTTCTGTGGCTACCCTCAAATGACCGATAGCTAAAATAAATATTCCTTATTACACCTCACTAGTCTTGCGTTCTATGATACCAGTGTTGATACATATCATCTTCATCAAATATAGAAGAGTCACAAAATGACAGCGGAAAGAATTGTAGCAGGTTATGTAGCTGCAGTTCCCAAGGGCGTCTCTCATCGCTTCGTTGGACTGGATGCTCCTTCGAAAAAGCGATCACTCAATAGTCAGCAAATATTCCAGGGGCTTTACTGGACTCTTGAAGGGAACACTCCAACTATTGCGTTCGTAGCTACCCATTATAATGCAGACTTTTTGGAGCATTACCTTGCTGGCGATCTTGTTGCCCGTGGGTACGGCTTTCTTGGGTGGAACACTAGATTTCGAGGCCTTGAAGACCTTTTTATTCTGGAAGCTACGGTGGAAGATATCGGTGTCGGATGTCGCTGGCTGAAGGATATTGCCGGCGTACAATAGTGATCCTAATCGGCAATTCCGACGGCGGTTCTCTCATGGCTGCATATCACTCTAAGTCACAAGAAGACGCTTCTCTCCTTACAGCAGATGCTTTCATTTTCGTCAACTCTCACACAGGACGACTAGACGTTTTTTCCAACTAACTTGACCTTGCTGTTATCGACGAGAATGATCCGGTTAAAACTGACCCTAGTCTGGGCATGTACCATGCGGCCAATGGACCCCCATATTCACAGGAATTTATTCAACCGTATCGGGCAGCCCCAGTAGACAAAAATCATCGTATTACTCAGTGGGTAAAACAAGAGCTCCAGCGGTTGAATGATGCGGGTGTCCCCGATCGAATCTTCCTTATACATCGAACGATAGCAGATTTAAGATCCATGAACGCGACAATCGATCAATCAGATCGACCAGTTCCTAGCTGCTATTTTGGCGATCCAGTCCAAGCAAATTGTGGCATTGGTCTTGCAGGTCACTCTAGTTCTTTACACACCTGGCTATCTTTGTGGAGCTTACAGGAGTCGGAAAACAAATTCGAAGTCTTCGCAACCAATTGGGATATACTAACAGCTGCTATTCAGGGAACGGCAGGTATTGGAGTGTTCAACTCAGATGCTCGCAACATCTTTAATAACCTTATGACCAAAGACAAGGAATTGCACTTGATCCCAGGCGGGCACTTTTTTGACGATAGTGAACATACCTACAATGGGGAATAAAACAGATCACGAGCTGTGTTAAAGAAAGATTTCCGGGTGCAAGTATATAAGAGATTAGACAAATGACTGGAGAATGTAGTGCTCAAATGCGTTGGAGGTGCAACTGCGGATGCGAGCATTAGGCGGTTATAGCACACTACCAGTTGTACCCCTATGTGAATATTCAATTTGTTTAATAAAGTATCGTCATAATTCCGGTACACAGCTCGCCCTGGGGGTTTTCCAAAATTCTCTACTATACTCAACACTTATATTATTGTTATCTTTGTTATCATAGATGGGGAAAGTCTCTAAGCGACGAAAGACGATAGGACAGAAACTCTTGTATACAAAAAGGAGCTTCGCGTTCACAATAATCGCTGACTCCAGGCAATTTTTCCTAATAATAAGCAAGGCCTAGGTTGAAAACTGCCCAGTAACCGTCCAGTAGACATTGTAGTTGATGTTGTGCGCATCGTAAAATGGACCAATGTCTACGGCCTTACCGTTGGCAGTCCCTGTAAATGCTAGACTGTTGCTGTTTGTACGGCGTACAGAGTCCAAAGCTAGCGATGGCATGGAACTAAGAGATTGCTGTCCATAGTTACCGCTCAGAACTGTCGGGCCGTAGGCGATAGCTGCAACGTTTGCGTTGTCGTTGGCAGGTACGGTGCGCAGCTTCATCGGTAACTTCACGGTAACCGTATCACCAGATGCCCAGGTTCGTGACAGTGTAGCATAGCTCCCTGGGTTGGCAGTAACTCCAGATGCTTGTCCGTTCAGACTGATGGTCGCACCAGATGTCCATGAAGGGATGCGGATCTTCATAGCCCAGTTGCCAGTGCCAGCAACTGTCAAAGTAGTTGTATCGCCGATAGGGAACGTAGTTACTTGTGTGATCTTGACGTTGCGCTGCTTCCAGTCTAGCGTCGAAGGCGTGAAAAGATTCACGTAGAGTGCCGAGTTATCATAGAAGTAAATGGAGTCCATAAGCTTGGTGTTGGTCTCCAGAGCCGTACCTTATTCACGATGGGATTTAGTCAATTTTCAATTGTGCTTCTAATGGAGTATGTGGAAGAGACATCAAGCTTACCTTGGCAGCACCAAAAGGAGTTGTAGTCAGTACTCCATGTACCTCCACCCCAGGCTGGTCCGACTCCTCGACGTCCACCACTCTTGAGTGGAGTAAAGTAGGTTATGTGGCCATGGTTATCACCTGGGTTCTGAGCGCCAAGAAGGTGATTGATGAGAGCACGTTCGTAATAATCGAAGTACTTCGTACTGGTGGGATCTGTTGTCCATAGATCTCGAGTGAGCTTGAGCATGTTATAAGTATTACATTGCTCAGCAGTGTCGTTCGTCAAAAAGTTAGAGATCTGGTTCGGTGGGCGGAAATGTTCCGCTTGACTGTTGCCACCGATTGCGTATGTATGTGCGTTGATGGTAAAATCCCAAGCATTTCTCGCAATGTCAAGGTAGCGCTTGGTACCAGTGGATTTATATTCCCGAGCTGCACCAATCCACTTTGGCACTTGAGTATTTGCGTGATTACCATTGAGCTGATCCTGGTTGTTTGCAAGAGGGTCGAACACTTTTGCGTGATCGAAACGTTGTGCTACGGTGAGCCACTGCTTATCTCCAGTGAGTTGGTAAATCTCCGCAAGGACATCGTTCATGCCTCCAAACTCTGTTCCAAGCATCGTTTGCATCTGAGCGGTACTCAATTTTTTGGTCCGTCCGTCTACCCAGCCAGCAAGGGCCAGCAAGACATCACGAGCTTTTTGATCGCCAATGATACGCCACGCATCGAGTAGGCCAGCCATTGTCTTGTGTACAGCATAGTATGGGACATTTCCGCCCGTTAATTTTCCAGCTTCAAGAGCAGCAAATTCTGATTCGGGGAAGCCGGACAGATAGCCTGGGCTGAATCCGGCCACGCCGTTGTTGGCCTGGCATTTGGCAAGTTCCTGAACAAAATACGCGGCGCGGTCTTTACACGTGCTGTCGCGCAAAGTTGCGTAGCAATGGACCCATCCGGTGAGATAATGCCCTTGGACGTGAGAACGGAAAGGAAATGTGGGCGCATCCCATCCACCGTTCGGCTGCGCGCCGTTCGTAGAGAGCTTGTGGGTCGCTCGGAAGTTGTAGAGTAGTCGGTCGACATTGACAAATTTAAGGTAGTTGAGTGTCCGATTCTCATTATCCTTCCAGCGGCTGTTGCTCAATGCGACCTGGCTTAAGTCGAATGCATGGGCGGAGGTTCCTACTTCCGGTACAACGACAGTCGGGATGGTCTGGGCAAAGATTGGTACCACTACCAAAAGGTATCCAGCAAAGCTAGCCTTGAGGAGCATGGCGCAATGCTATTGTTAAAGGCGGCAACGAAATTATGCAATCGAGAACGTCTTCCACAAGAGCCTGGAATTCTATTCTTTATATGATAAGTCCGTAGTACTTTTGCGACACCAATTCAAAATTCTTATATATATGATTGATAGAACTAGCCATCTTTTACACGAATAGGAAACGCGATCGCAAACGAATACTAAGTCCATTGGTGGTAATTTGTTGCAGGAACATGTGGATTGTTTCCTATATGTAAGGTTACCTTGCCCATAACCATATTGTGTGACGGGAAACATGCCCACCATCGGGACATTTGCAAACTGCTGAGAGAATCCGCCAATGGCAGTGACGCAGCAATGCCGAGGTGGTCAAGGATTAAAGGCCAAGTGGCGGGGAAAAGCTTGACATCTCAATGAGGGCCCAAGCTAGCAGCGCAAACATCCATTTTGCACCAACCACAACCAAGACACGATATTTCTCTATATGAAGCAGCAGATTGCATCGGATGATCGATTGCCATATTAAGATTAAAGGACATGGGGTTTCCGCAGCCGAAATCACGTTACTTAAGACAAGGCGACGTAAGTGCTGTGTCCGTGCACGAACTGCGCACGATGGAACAATGCACACGAGATCGCAGTAACAGTACTCATAAAGATCGAGACTATAGAGCCACGTGCCGGAACTATTATCATGGAAGAGATTATCAGAGCACTCCATTGAGCTGTGCAACAAAGATTGGCAGTGCGACCTTTGAGTTTGGGCGGTTTTGCGGCCACAGAAGTTGAACGTTAGAGAAAGTACGGACTGGCGTTACACTACTTAGAGGACCTCACCATTGCCGGTCTTCTCTCGCACAATGACATCTAATAGCTACATATAAGATGCCGACGCATATTAATAGCCTAGGTATACGATTGAACAGTATTAGGAGGGAGTGTTGTGTCATTGAAAGAAATTCGCCTACGGTTGATGCGAGGTGAGCGCTGTGAGATGCGAATTACATATCTGCTATGTACAGTGCCCACCTGTTCGTTCAAAACACACGTAGAAACAAGGGCAGAGCTTGATCGCGATGTTAGGTTAGCAACAGGGTAAACTAGGAAGCGACAACTAAGAAGGAAGGTATCTTCAAAAGGTGTGAACCGCCCGGATCTGCGCGAGCCGGAGCAAGCATCACTAGTATAGATTTGCTTGTCCAAGAGCTCTACATAGTATGCTTTCGTTGCAACCGACCTTTCCAAGTTTCCTGAAATGATTTATTTCCCAGTCCATGGACATGAAAAGGCCAGTTGCTTGTGCTTCGAGCCAAATATTTAGTAGTCTTAGAGAACTAGAGCACAGATGGCTAACCAAGAAACAGGTGTAGATGCCGCTTGTTCCACAACCTCTTTTCAATCGATACAGTCCTTCGCAGCCTCCTATTATTGCCACATATGTGCTAATTTGTATCACGAGTGTAGCTACACTGTCCATTTGCTGCTAAGGGCGTGGTCTTCGAGCCCATGTTCGTGTACAGATACTTAGCATTTATCATTTCTTGTGCATAAAGAAGTAAGCCGACCTCGAACAACATGTTCCGATAAGCATAATAGGCTGCAATAAATTGGAAATACTCTTTTTTCTGGCGGCTGTCGTCGGTGTAAGGGAAAAACGAATCAGGCGTACCTTTAGGTGTATTGCCGCCAAACGGCTTCGACGTCTCGCGATTGTAATCAAAGAGGTTAGAGGGCTGGTGACTACAAATGCCACTGGTGTTGTTTGTCGAAGGCGATTCAAATAGCCCAGAACGCGGATGACTCGTTGCACTGTGTTCGAACTGATTTGATGGAATAGCTGATTTGCTGAAAGGTGAGGTTGAAGCAAATACGCTGGGGAATTTGGCACTGTTATTCAGGCCAGCAGACTTCGCCAAAGTAGCCTGGCCGAAAAGACCACCTATTCCTTGATTTAATGCATCGGAGGTACTAGGAACATTCGAGGTACCGCGGCTCCTGTAGATATTTGATGCAGGGGCAGTTATTGGTGTCGCTGATGTGGACGCTCGCTGCGTTGGTTCACTAGGTGTAACAGTCTTCACTTGCCTTGATGAGAGCGTTTGATACTTGCGGAAGGCGAAAAGAAGCTTTTTATTAGTCGTTTCAGTGATCGGAGTATCGAAGACGTTCTCAAATGGTCGTGCTTTCGCTGCGGCTGACGGCTTGTGCGTGGCTTGTATTTCCGCAGATAGCAGTGGGGTTTCTACGAGTGTTGTTGGCTTTAGTATGCCTCGTTGCATTCGAGAAGCTGTATTCAAAATCTGTTAGCCTGGACTGTTGTGCGACTCTGATTAGGCTATCAGGAGACGGGCCTGTCTCGTACTAACCAGGATGAGATCTTAATATGCCAAGTCCATTTTCCAAGGTCATAACACGATCGCTAAGTCTTGTACTTTCTTGCATGGCCTCATCTGACTTTAAAGCAATAGCCTAGAGCTCTTCCTCTTCCACGTCTCTTACTTTCGCTGATGAGAGCATCTTAGCCACACCGGAGAGCAAGCATTGCTCAGTCGCTAAGGAAGCGGCATCATTCGTGGTGTAAGAATTGCTGACTAGATTTGGGTGGCAACAGAAGGTATGCATGAACTCGTCAATCTCCAGCGCGATCATACCTCGTAATATGCTTCCATACATTCGTAAGTCTCCAAAAACCCATACTTATTCTTAGTCGGGGGCATTTCTGGCTAGGACCCTTGCCAATAACTCCTAGATGGAGGGCACCCCACCTTCAAGATTCAAAGTATTGTGAATCATCTTCAACTACTAATTGCAACACTCTCTTTTCTCGTAGTGCACAGATCGCTTGGGCAAACTTTGGGTCGATACTGAGAGGATAGTGATTACAGTGCGGAATAAGCAGCTCTTCGAATTTTGACTTCAACTCCTGACGCCGCTTTTCCTAGGCAGAGTTGATGATGTGGCCCTCTCAGCCAGCGCCGTAACATGTGGTAATTAATAGTGCTTGTAGTCGTCTCACCACCACCATCTTTTACATACATGCTTAGAAACCTGTTTTGTTAGGTAAATTAAATATGTATGAAACATTTGCGGTTAAGCATGAAGATATACAAATAGGTCATATGTAAGCAGTTAGAAGACTACATTACATTGAAAAAATGACAGCTATCATACACTGGGGGGTATATCTACGAACATTTATGTCGGCAAGTTCCTACACGTGTTGGTGAACTTGATATACGACTTCTGATTCACCAGCGGCGCCCACAGCGTCAGGTACCACTTCGCATCCCACCAGTACTTCCAAACACCAGGCACACTCTTCCTCTGACTATACAGTAGCTCAACATATGTATTACCGTTCTTGGCAATCAAATTGAGCTCCTTACGATTAAACGTCGCCCATTTTGTCGCCAGATTGGCGGGCGTGGGATTCGCGCCTCCATACGCAGCATCGAAACGAACCAGGATATCCCGAATGCCGTTATAACTATCACACCACGAGCCCCATATATCGGGATGATTCCAATACGAGAAGATGTACCCGAACTCGCGCAAGAAAGTGAGTTGTTCATCGCCCGCCAGCAGCGTCGCGAAGTCGCCGATGCCAGGTGTCTTTGCGCCTGCCAAAACACCTTTTAGTCGATTCGAGTTTGAAAGAAAGGCAGCGAGGCGGTTTCTGCGGTCCCAGGCGGCGCCGCCGCGGCCGCCAGAGCCGCCGAGTTCTTTGCTCATCATGGAGATCACGGTGCCGAAGGCGCCGGGGAAGGCGTTGTTATCGTTTACGATGTTTGTGTCTATCCAGGCGCAGTCGAGGGCGTCGTTTGCGTCGGCGTCTATGCCGCCGAAGAAGCGGGCGATGGTTTGTGCTTCGAAGGGGTGTTCGGCTGTTGGAGGGGGCAAAAGGGTTAGTGTTTGTTCATGTATGGAGTGTAGATGTCTAGCAGTAGCAGAGAATTAAAACTTACTTTGGTAGTAGTTCGGTACCCATTTGTTGGTCGTTTGGTCCCACTGTTCACCCGCTGTGGGCAGCTTACCAACAGCCCAGCTAGTGCAGCTGGCCGAGGTGTTACGGTAATATTTCATGACTGGCGCCGAGTATGGGTGTATGTCGAATCGTACTTGAGAATTTGGGTACTCGAGAAAATCGGGGTACGCTGGGTATCCGAACTTGACTTTGACGTCGCCACAGAATCGGATGGATTTGTAGGTGGTTCCTGGTCTCGTGGCGTCTGCTCGTGGATCTAGTCCTCTCTCTTCGAGGTCAGCGTCTTCCAGGTCGGCTGTGACATTGCTCTTGATAATGGCGTCTAACGCGGATACGTCGCGCTTCCAAGGACCAATATCGAAAAAACCTGGCTTCTCCAGTTCGCCGTCGGGGCGGTACTCGGGGTAGAAGCCGTATTTGCAGGGAAGACATGTGCAACCACAGCAGGGTGTTTTGATGGAAGACTCAACTGTACAGCCACTGCAGCCATCGCAGGCCAGAATTGGGTTCAAGCTATTCCAGCCTTTATCCAGCAAATTAGCTCCTGGGAGAGGGATCGCACCAATATTAAAGCCTTCATCTGGCAGCTCTTGTCGCGCGACCAGATTGGTGTCGTTGTTATCATCAGACTCGACAAAGTCTTTTGGCGATAAAAAGGGCATTGTACGCTTCGTCTTTTTCGTACCATCTTTGTTGAAGCACTCCTTATTGCCAGAGGCGCTGTACTCTTGCACGTAGACTTTAGTGGGGTTGTCCATATTCCAGCCGACGTACTTTCCGTCGCCCAGTTCGCTCTGCATGGTCGATCCCAAGCTGGTACTCAAACAAGCGTCGTTGTCGTTGTTCTCAATGGTCCAACGTGCGTATTCATACTGCGAAACAGACATGTCGGGAAGCTCACCGCCGACGGCATATTGCCACGGCTTTGAGAAAGACATGCCTACTTTGAAGCCAAGACGTACCGTCGAACCCACTTCGATGAATCCAGATGGCGTCTTTTCAACGGGAATGAGCTTGTTCTGGTCGCTTTTGCTGACTTCGTCTTCATCTCTTCCACCTTCGCCGGACCCGACATGTGGTGATACAGTAGCGCCATCTGGGAAGTGAACGTTGTAGCGACCCCAGTCCGATTTAACACGCGCTTCCATGTATCCACTGAATGGAACTGCGCCAGCCTTGCCGTTGCCACTGCGCAGCGTTACGCCAGTTTCTTTGTATGCGGTGAAAAACGCCCAGCCCTTGTAGATGTTGTGACCAGCCATACCCTTCTGACCAAACGTCTTGGTCATGGTCGCGCCCTTGAGACTCTTGGCGGTATCCATGATACCAGCGCCGCCTACCTTGAAAGTTACGTCTGTTTTGCCTACAGGGCGGACAAAACCAGCTGCTTGATGAATTTTGACCTCTTGGTTTGGCTCCCATGTCGCAATCATAGAGAATCCATAGTGCAGCACGACATCTGTACTGCCCTGGATTGCTACACTTATAGACTCTCCGAGCTTGCCGCCATCTGATGGAACATCCTGATAACTACAGGTTTGACCATTATGATAAACGAGGTTATCGAGCTTTTGCGAAATCTTCAAGCCTTTGTTGTCGTAAAAGGAGAGGCCGTTGAACTTGGCATACCACTGGTCTGTTTTGCCATTGTCATAGAACCTGTCAACGAGTGACTTGAGATCGCGCTTCTTCTTGTTGCCAGGCGTATCGACAACAGCGTACCAGTAGCCCGGGACGTTGGAGTAATCCATACGGATGCTGACTCTTCCCGTGTCTCGTCGGACAAGGCCAATGTTGTAGTCGAACCTGAAGTCGTAAACTGCAGATGTAGGGTTGCGCTTCCTAATGTCATCTGGAATTGTTTGATCTGTGGACAGTTCAAGCGATACAGCGCGAGACCACGAGGGACCACCACATTCGTCCGGCATCTGGACAATGGTTCCTTCCACCCCCTTCTCCTGTACTCTGAAGCAGTCTGTGACGTTTGCTTGCATACAGATGATGCGGGCTGTTTGCAACTCATCATCAGGTCTCTCAAGCACATCGTTGGGGCAATCGAGGAACTCAAGGCCGGGCACGTCCCTCTTCTTCATCGAGGACACGGCCGAACTGTCACCAGCAATGAGGAAGAAGGCAACGCCGCTCTTGTCAGGGTCTGATTCACCAAGCCCCGACAAGCCTCCAAAGCTCACTAGATCGTAGGAGGGAATTGCATCGGGAGGTGGCAGCTGAGCTTCCGGGAAGAGATTCTCGAGATTGAACGGTGCAAATGGCCTGTCATGTCCACCGGGCGGCTCGCAGCAAAATGCCTGTTGACGTCCATTGTGGCAAGAGCTGGATCGTGGATCTGGTCCGCGAGGATCGAGGTCGAGAGTGATTTTTCCAAGAGCGCAGGTGCTTGAGCAAACCTTACCAGATTCCCAATTGCAGTTGCTAAAGGAATCCTTCTTGGGGCAACATAATCTTCGGAATCCAGTTCCTTCACCGCTGAAAGGATCACCGGAGCCTTTCCAGCCACACCTAGCTTTCTCCTTTGGGCCGCCTGTATCGGTAGTAAGTTGGTGTGGCTTGTCCGATGGGCAGGGCTTGTCGCATTCGGTCCAGGTACATATGTCCAAGTAACGTTTCATGTTTCCAGCTTTGCAGCAGAAGCTCTTCCATCCACGCGTACATTGATCACCGTAATGGCCGCCGAGCAAATCCCCTACCCAACCAAAGCTGTCGTTGATGACGTTGATGTCGCCAACGTCGCATTTGGCAGAGCAATCAGACTTTGCCGCTGACGATCGTTCGTCGTGCCATTTGCAATCATTTTCCTGTGGGCCTGAGAAGGAAGGACAGCAAATGTTTCGTGCTTGTTTGGAATTCTTCGTGTTGCACCGATTCTTTCCATTGCTATCCGTGTTCGCGCGGCCAACCATGGTGTAGCCGGACTTGCAAGTTGCGTTCTTCTGGTCGGTACCACAATCAGAGACGTAGCACTGTGTGCCATCTGCCGTTCCATGTGCGATTGAGGGTCCGTTGTCCGTCATGAACTGGAGAAGATCTGTGTCATCTTCAAGGTCTTTTCCAGTCAGGGCTCGAATCAGATCACCCTTTTCATCGTCGATATCAATGGCCCATGTCATGAGTCCCTTGAGGCCTCTCTTATTGGCGAAATCGATCTTCATCTCAATGGTTTTTGGGTCGTCGTAGGATATCCAGCTGTTTTGGCCATAGGTCAAGTACTGTATACCTGCCGCCTTGTCTAGCTTGGGCTTCGCTTTAGTCGCGGCGAGGATATCTTTGACTTCCTTGTATGAGAGAAAGCCTTCTGTGTCGGTGCACTCGCCTTTCTCACCAGGTCCGCTAAAAGCGCAACCTGGTTCCCAACACGATCCGCTCTCGAGACGGAAACTTCTTCCGTAAAAACCGGTTCCAAGGACAATCTTGCTTGGGGAGACATCGTTTCTCCAGAAGAGGTCAAGTGCAAGATCGATCTCTGTCAGATTGGTATGACCGAGAATCTTGTTACCAATGGGATTGTCTCGATCCCAGACGCTTTTTGGAGTCAGTGATTGTTGTGCAGTCAAGGGAAGGGTAATGCTTACCCATGGAGGTCGTAGGACATGAGGTTCACCCAATCAGCCACCTCAACGCTCTTCTTGATGTCGAAATGGCGCAGGTACCAGTAAGAAGTTGGAGCAGTGAAGGTTAATATGTAGCGCTTGCCCATTGCTTCTTTCATCTCCTTCATTAACTGAGTGAGGTTTGCGCCGTCTTCGGGTATACCGCCTCGATCTTCTGCACCGGGATACTCCCAATCGAGATCGACACCGTCAAACCCGTACTCTGCCATGAAGCCCATCAGGTTAGCGATAAATAATTTCCTGTTTGCAGCGGTTGAGGCCATGTCAGAGAAGACTTTCTGATACTTTCCTGGATCATTGTGTGTCCAACCCTGAACATGTTAGCAGCCAGAACCGCAAGAAATATAACTTGACTTACTCCTAATGCGATAAGAACTTTGAGAGAGGGCTTCTTTTCTTTAAGATCAGTGACTCTTCCAAACATCGAGGGCTCGAAATCGCTCATGGGCTCGATCTTGAACGTTCCTGGTGCGATGAAGCCAAAAGAGAAGATCAAATGTGTGAGCGAATGTACCGGTATCTCCTCTGGTTTCATAGTTCCACATTTCTTCTTCAGGTTCCAGCCTTCGTAATAGCCGATGACGATTTGCTGAGAATTGCTGGTTCCGGCATTTGGCTTGGGTTGTTTACAGTTGCTTTGGCAACCATCACCACAGAAATCAGAAGTTGTTCCGCAGAAACCGTGTTGTCTGAGAGATTGTTAGCATCAGCAGCATGACCGTGGAGTAGCAAGAGTTTGTAGATGCAGATAACCGGCGGGAAAACTACATAGAGCGGCGAAAGGACACAAAAAATCACTCACGAGCAGCAGACATTGAGTGGGCAGCCCTGTCCGGCAGTCTTCGCATATTGACCACATTCTGCTTTGGCATCGCAGTTCGACTGGCACCCCTGCGACTTGGTAAGTAATGTGACCTGGCTGATGTCTAGAGATGAACTTACAGTTCCACAGAACTTGGGGCCATATCCGCACCATCCAGATTCGCCACTGAATAATATAAGCATATATTCACGCTGTGAGCAAAGAAAATCGAGTTACCAGCATGCTCCGTTACCGCAGGGTTTGCCAGGGCCACATGTGTAATCGCCAGATGCAGCGGTAGCTGAGCCGCCACCTGCCTGTTGTCGCGCGAACAGGGCTCGAGGCTCGCGATACGAGATACCAGGCGGAATGATGGAGTCATCCGACTGAGGAGATGGGGAGTCTCGTGCCGAGCGTTCCGCTAGATTTTGACGACGGAAGTGGTGTGCATGTTTGAGATGATGGGCTTGTGTTGCAATCCCAGGCAAACAAAAGGCTAGAAATACAAAAAGAATATAGAAAAACCTGCTTGAAAAGAGTGTCATGGTTAAAATGTCGAAGTCAGCACTGCAAAAGAGTGACTACCACGGGTGTGGTTGCTTGGGGGTAAGACAAAGACAGCTGAAAAGGACCCAGAATGTCAAGAACAGGACTGTATGTCTAGAAGAGTTATACAATCGAACCAACTACCCTCCTTCGCTCCATCGACGCTGCCGCTGCCACAGCGGCGACTACAGGGATTGTGCATCAGTTGCCTAACTATAGCTATGCATATTTTCATGCAGGGGCAAAACAGAGATGCTCATTACGAGTGGTGCAATCTGCCGTGAATGGGCCTTACAGGGGTATCCGTGGTGCCTACGGGCTGTTTTCTAGACATCACTCGAATATGCCGATATTGTTGCAAATTATTATTGATGGGCAGCTCTTCCAATGTACTCAGTGAAGGATAGCGTAGATAGTGGATCAGATAGAGTACCAACTACCTGATCCAGTTATGGTGCACACCCTTCCGTCGGTCCTTCCGGAGGTTCATATGAAATCTCACCCACCGTAGGCTGCAAAGTAGAGTTATTCAAGGGTCTGCATATGTGCACAAGACCACATAGTCAAGATAAAGGATTTGCGATAACTCAGAATCCGGTTTCAGTAGGCCCTGCAGAACGCAAGGATTCGGGCCGTTGCGGATACGTGTGAAAAGAGGCTGCTATAATTAGGTAAATGTGGACGTTCAGTAGAGCTGCGTTAGGCGTACCGTTTAGGGGAAGACACGCTTTCCCGGATTTGCCACTGTCCAAGTAAGCCAATTCAATCTAGAATTGAGTGCAATAAACAAATTTTCTTGGATTTAGCCTTGTATACCGCCTGATGCGAAGCCTATTTAGGAAGGTAACGTCTTTCGTGCGAATCTACCGCCTTGGCGATCATACACAAGCGTATACCCAAAATGACTGACAATCGGAGACAAGATCTAGTACGCGGGAGCGATGGGCTACGAGCCGTTCCCGCCCCCACTATTGAGTTAACTCCTTGGCATATGCAAGCCGCTCTCCCTCCACAAGACATTTTGTGAGGGCTAAGATACCAAAAATATTCCTCTACACAGTTCTTCCTAAAACATATCCAATATTGCATGGCGCCTGCATGGTACCTGCATAGTACCTGCATAGTATCTGCATGGTACCTAGATGCGAACTATACGTTTTTTTAGTACATCCTTCGCCCCCTGGACTAAGATCAAGTAAGGCCACCCAAAAGCCAATATCGCCATGTCGCAATCTGCTGGTATCAAAGGTTGGCCCTGATCGCACGTCGAGGCAGAGGGCGCCCTCTCTTCTGCATCTCTTCCACGCTCTCACAGTGGCATCATGTTGTTGTTTGCGCTCCTCACACTCGTTTTTACCCCGATACACCTTGCGGTCGCTCAAAGCTATCAACTTCACCCAGTGATCGGCTCGGGCTTACTTAACGCATCATCAAGCTGTCAATCGGTCTTTAGTGCGAATGTGACCTGTGTCAACAGTATTGGACAACTCTATGCGAACCCATTCTACGATCCTGGAGATACAGAGTTAACAGCACTCTGCACATCGGCTTGTGCGTCATCCTTGGATCGTCAACGGACCCGTGTCAAAGGAGCGTGCCAAGGTGCGCAATACTACGACGAATATGAAGACACATACTGGCTTCCGCAATATCCGGACGAATTCATGCTCTATGCCTACAACGTTGCTTGCCTCAAGAGAAGGTGTGTTTACTTGCGTAATGATAAGTTACAGCTGCTAATACTTTTCAAAGCACTGGAGAGTTTTGTACATCGTACCTGCGTAATCTCAAGACAGCAGCAGACTGCGACGAATGCATTATCAAGACTTTCCAGTTGCAGGTAAACTCTCCATTTGCAGTAGACGATGGTGTACGCCAGAATTATGCCTCTCTTACCTCATCATGCAAAGCCACTCAGTATCCCACCACTGTTGCAACGTCTTTGTTACTCAGCACGTAAGTCAATACATCTAGAATAGCATCCCATGAATAGAAAAGCTGATCTCGACAGACCCACACCAACGGCAACTTGCAGCGGCACTACCTATGTCATCCAACCTACGGACACATATCGAAGTGTATCTCAAAAGCAGTCTGTTTCGACAGACCATCTGCTCAGTTCGAATGGATTGCCCTATAACATGACATCCTTCCCGAAATCAGGATCTTTTTGTATCTCGAACCGATGCAAGACGTACGTTCTTGCTCAGAACGACACTTGTACCTCGGTCGCCGCTAAGACTTCTATCTCCACTGTTCGTCTAAAAGCATGGAATGCAAATATCAATGAGCTCTGCAGGTAAGATAGACGTATACTCTGATTTTATCATGTTCTAACTTCATATAGTAACCTCGCACGTTTTACTGGCGACACAATTTGTATTAGCAATCCCTACGGAGACTTTTCAATGCCCGACACTCCCACAGCAACACCGGTTGAGACACCAGCGTATGTAAGTCTCTACTGACAATGATTGATTGCAATTGACCAGTCTCACAGACCACTGCCGACGGACCTTGGTAATGGTATTGCTCCAAATGTGACATCACGTTGTGGGAAGTACTACAAGGTCGACGTTGGAGACGATTGTTCTACGGTATCTTTGAAATTCAACATTGCCGCAAAAGATCTGTGAGAGAATCATCCCTTCAGTATGAACTTGAACCTCCTGACTCTTCATAGCGTCTTTCTGAATCCTATGCTGAACGGGAATTGCACCAATCTTTGGCTCAATTACACATATTGTGTCCAGCCAGTTGGAGACATCAATGCCTACCCAGGTTATGGTGCAGGTCCTACTGCTACATTACCGCCGTTCACTGCAGGGCCAAAGACGTCTCTTTCATGGGTCGATCCAGCGCCAACACTTGCACCTGGTAACATCATCATTCCGCTGGCGAACGACACTCGTGTGGACTGCCACAAGTAAGCATCCTGATATTTTTGCTGAAGTACTTGACTAATCGCGACAGCTATATGTGGATCAATGGCACCAACTCCGAGTCCCTTGACTGCTGGAGCATTGCAGAAGCTGCTGGCTTACAACGCGAGGTATGATCCAAGTCTATTCATTTCGCTCCATGATATCATTTGCTAAGAAAACCCAAGCAATTTGCGTTGTGGAATCCATCAATTGACAAGAACGCTGCCGGAGTGGAGGATCGGAGTTACAACTACGATTGTGCGCTGCAGACGAGCATGTCATACTGCATGGGCATTGCCGCACCCACTCCTTATTGGAAAGGTGAGTGTTGCAACCAAACTTGTCGCAACATGATCATTTATAATATCCACAGCTATCCCCACGGCTCGGAAACCTCCGTCACCACGCGCATCCGGCGAGATTGCTAATTGTCTTTCCTGGATGCATGTCAATACGCAACTGAATTGTGGTGTTATGTTAGGAAACTTCGATCTTGCGATGAGTGAATTCTACACAATGAACCCATCGGTCGGTGCAGATTGTTCGAATCTGTCGTTGGGATCCTACTATTGCATTGGGACGCCCGATATACCTGCTATAGATGGGGACATATCCATTACGCCAAGTCCAACATCCACCAAACCGCCCACAGCCAGTGGCACACCCTCGCCTATACAGGTATGACACAGAGCACTAGGTAGATTGCTTGTTCGAACTAATTGTTTTTAGGACGGCATGGTATCCGGCTGCACGAAGTTTTACCCCGTAGTAGCGAACGATGGATGCTGGGCCATTGCCAACCAGAATTCTATCTCTCTCGATGACTTCTATGCCTGGAACCCGGCTGTCGGCAAAGATTGCGCAACTCTCCAGCCGAATTACTACGTTTGCATCGGTAGAGCATCCACTACAACGTCCCACGCGACCACCACACGGGTATCTACGACATCGAGTGCTACTACTACGAAGCCTGCAGCGCCAGGGCCTACGCAAAGCGGCATCCCGGCGAATTGCAACAAGTGGGTGGCACAAAAGGATGGAGTTTACTGCTACGATATGGCGCAGGCAGCTGGCATCTCGTTGGATAGACTTTATGCACTGAATCCGGCACTCAACGGTGATTGCAGTGGGCTGTGGCCAGGGTATGCTTATTGTGTCGGTACGTCCTGATCAGTTTATGGAGATGTGTGGCTTCTACCTAGTGTATGTAGTTCTTGATATATTGAGAATACACTGGAACAGTAATGCCCGTTCGTATCCTTTAGTCTGATGTAGATACTTTGAATTTGAGGATACGAGCGTGCGGACGTGGTCCTGTCTCAATGACTTNAAACACATCTTCCCACTTCTTATCTAACTCCACCTCATCGTTGGTGACTATAATGTCCATCTTTGACGCATTAGACTTTATGTCCTCGACCGCCTCATCAACGGTTGTATACTTCTTATTCCAAGCATTCACCAACACTTTGCCAAGCCTTGCCTCATCTAGCTCTTGCCACATGTTGTTCAAAAATCTTTCGTCGAAGACCTCCCTGTTGTCATCATAGGGTTTGCACCCACCCTCGACTGGACAACATGGCTCCCAACACCCTGTTTTAGCCGAGGGTGATTCATCAGTGTAATCATTCGTCATAAGTCTCCACACAAATGTGGCCCAGTAGTAGATGTCCTCCTGGACGCAGCCGTGCAATGCCTCCTCGTCAAACTCCATAAGCTCTTCGCGCACGCTGCCGCCTTCTCCATAGCCGGTTTCATCGCCAACAATTTCGGCACCAACAAATCCAGTAAGCGCAAGAGAGTAATCTGAGCGCAACCACATCATCTGAGTGGAAAATGTTCTGAGATAGATCCGATGAGAATGCAAAGCGCTGAGTGCTGAAAGACCTTGAAGGGCCCACCGATAATACAGGCTCAGCATCGTCTTGTCGTTGCGACTGGGTTTCGCGGGTACAGGTACAGTCATCACTGGCAGTCTCAAATCGAACGGGCCGGGCCACAGCCTCTCAACAATTAGACTGCCATCATCAAGGATGCCTTCGTAACTTGGTGGTGTTAGTCACATGCAGACGATGCACACACAATCTACGCTTACCGAACGATTCTGGCGTGATCTTTTCCTAGGCGCTGATACACATTCCGGATCTTGACCACCGGCCAGCCAGTCAATTCTCGCCCATAGTTATGAATCTGCCCGCGCGGTAGACTAGGCGAGCGGATGATGATGTGTTTTCCATCTTTATGTGGTACACAATTTGCTTGCTCGAAGAATACCGCGTACCAAGTCTGCGAATCCTCGCGCGTCATGCTTGCCTCAGCGGGAACAAGGAGGCCATGATACGGCTGATGCACGGGTTCTTGAGTAGGAAGAGCGTCCATTGTCTGATTTGTGTGCGATTCGTCATCTGTAAGAGTAGTGCTACTAGAAAATGCTGAGCCCATAGTGTAGGCTAGTGGAAGTAACTGCGGAAGTTAAAGAAGATTGGGACCTAGAGCAATAAGTACATGATTGCCTAATCCACCTTGGCGCCCGCAACTGTTGAGGCGGGTAAAGTACGGTAGAATAAATTTAGCGCATTGCTTATCTATCTTAGTAGCTAAACTAACATTATATATTAGATTCTATTCTTCATTCTTAATAAAACAAAAGTCAAAATAACTCTATTATAAGGGTATTAGAAAATATAATTTCTAGTAGATATGAACTAAGAGTCTAACGTGTTTCACCAATGATTCGGCCACCCTAGTGATTTGGCCACCTCTCTAGACTATTCCACCTTTATAATAGTATTACGTAATACTACTATAATTTATAGTATTAAGTAGAATAAGATATTATTATTTAGACGCGTTACTATTCTTTATATTCTCTAATTCTACTTAGTATATATAGAAGTTATAACTAACTATCTAATTTAGCTATAATTGTAACGGGCTGAACGCCCTTTTGGATAGCTCCTGGATGGAATCTCGGTTCGAGCTGCGCGCGCACTATCTGAATGTTACACGGGGTTGGGTGCTGATACTTCTCTAAGCTCGATCCGGCTTAGAGCGAGTAAGAGGGTGTGAAGAGCGCCGTAAGAGTTTATCTAGCGATGTAGTAGAGTAGTATACTTAGATAGAAGGTAATAAAGGTTTAATAACTACTANTCTATATTNNATAGACTAANNAGTAATAATCTTATTAAGTAAAGTAACTAGTAAGAAAGTATAATTTAAGTTAACTATAACGAGAGTAATAATAAAATCAATCTATTCTTTTATTATTATTACTTCTAGTTCTATCTTCTTTAGCTTTTCATCTTAGCGGGAGATTTAGAGGGATATTAGCCTCT